TTGATTCCCTTTTCGGCAGCCAGTTTCTTGGCTAGAGGGGCTGGCAAAACACCCTACCCTTCCTAGGAGCTGCCAAGGGCGGCTGGAGCAGCGACAGGAGCTGGGGCGGGAGCTGCTGCTGGAGTGGGGTGGCCACCTGAAATTTAGCTACAATTAAAAGTCATATATGCAATACACATATTAAAAATATATTTCTTTATAGTTAGGTTAAAGATTTAAATCATTAACTTCTTCAAATTTGGATTAGAAGATGTTACGCTTCTAAAAACGTTCTGGGCTGCAGTTCCCAGAAGCATCTTAAGCCTAAGTTGTAAGCCACCGATGATTGATCAACTTAGCTCACAATTCTGTTGAGAAACACAAGTGCATGTGCCAATGTGTGTACAAACATTACCACTTTTTTTAACAATCTTAATATCTTATCAGAACATATCATGTGCACCACAACCTACAGTAACGTGTTATAGTCTATTCTTGATGGCCACACCCACAAAATTGGCATGGTGTGATTACAGTATTGCAAAACACTACAAATATTGCAAAGTGACCTTTCACTTTCAGTCATGGCATGAAACTTGATATAATGATGTCAGTAAAAACACGACCTTGATTTTCATCACGACGGCCTTTAGGTAATACACAAAAAGTATACTGACATGAGGTTAATCAATGATTGCTCTTAATAAATGACTGCTGATCACCAAAACAATCAGGTTAAGTGTGCATAATTATTCATAATGGCTTTAAACAGCAGACACAAATAAACAACAGATCTTGTAGAAATTACGGAGCTCTTTACCGGTGCGGGAGCAGGGGGTGGGCTTGCAGCCACACCGGTCTCTACATAGTCTGCAAATGCGCTAATGTCAGATTCCTTTTCCACAATGATGCAGAGAGGAGTGCCGAGAGGAACGTCTCTGGTGCCCTCAGCAACCATTATTTTGGCCATGTAGCCCTCCTCTTGTACCTCAAAACCTGAAAACCACAGGAAGGATTTACTAAGTGTTAATGCATATATTAATCGCTCATCATACGCACAAGCAAACTTCTTAAAATCGTGTCTATGCATATACATTTGTATGTGCATATGCCCAATCAAATGTTCACAATGTAATATATCTGCATTTCAACTATTTTAAAATGTAATTATTTCTGATATGGCAAAGCTGAATTTTCAGCATCATTACTCTAGTCTTCAGTGTCACATGATCCATCAGAAATCATCTTCATAGTGGAATTATTGTGGTCTCTGATCTTGAAATTAGCTGATGATATATAAAACGCAGCTCATATCTGCTGTTTTTGTCAATATAAACTGTTAAATTTGCATATAGCTTGAGAATTGAAGATATATATATATATATATATATATTAATTTTGTGGAGACACAAGTGTAAATGGAACAGTTTTGACAAGTGTTAAGGTGTAAACAGGTCTTATTTAAGCACCATTGAGTGGAACCAATGGGTTTTGGGCATTGACAATTTTTTCCACCTCATAAGAAATGATATTATCAATATGTTTAAGGTGTTTATGTGGACAGGGATCTAACTATTACTGTTGAACTACCATAATTAAAGTCAAAATAGTAGACAATTTACCGATTGTTGCCTTATCAGTCTCAATTTCAGCCAGCAGGTCTCCCTCACTCAGCTTCTCACCCACCTTCTTCTCCCAGCGCTGCACTGTGCCCATAGTCATGGTGGGAGAGAGAGCTGGGAGAAGAACCTAAAGAAAGCAAGACAGCAAGTTAATGACGCCATGCAATAATATGCTTGCTTATGGTTAGACCGGACAGTGTCCCAAATGCTTTCACTTCTGAATTTGTTTGTAGTCACTTTAATATTTGGTCAACATCTCATCCTACCTTCATATGAGGTGGGTAGGAGCTCCCAGGAACTTGTGGCGCAGCAGGAGCAGCAGTGGGCGCTGCTGGAGGGGGAGGGGCAGCAGCAGGGGCGGAGCTAGACACTTTATCCATTGTAAAGTCCTTAAATGCAGGGATGAGGGCAGGACTAAAGGTCAAAAGACAGATGATGTAAATTAAGTTTGAAAAACAAGTCCACAACATCATACATATCAAATCACACAATACTGAATTGTCAACACATGTATCAAACATGCAAATTTAAGCTTTTATTAAAAGCCAAGATCAAGACAGTATAATTTAGGAACATCAAATAGGCCCTTCTTTTGATGCACCATTTATCTGTCCTACAAAATAACTCTTTTATGCTTTTAAGGACATACATTTTATTTATGCTCTCTATCTTGGCACTGCAGATACAAACTGTGCTTACTTGTCAACAGTAATACAAATGACAGCACCAATGGGCACATCTCTTGTACCCTCAGAAACCAAGATCTTGGCAAGGTAGCACTCCTCCAATAGTTCAAATCCTACTGTAGCCTTGTCTGTTTCAACCTGACCAAATCAAAACAGAAGAATTGGGATTAGATCAGAATTATAACATGGGGCTGGTGAAAGCCTGTTTCGGATCGGTTGACAGACATTCTAATCTAAGCTGTCCTAAGGAAAATTATTTAGTTTAATATTTTTAATCTACAATAAAATTAAACAATCAAGTGGCTTCTTGGTGGTAAAACCCCAAATATGCCTCACCTCAGCAATCAGATCTCCCTCATTAATTTTGTCACCTTCTTTCTTTTCCCAGCGTGCAATAGTGCCCATCTGCATAGTGGGGGACAAAGCAGGCAGTTCCACCTGTAATAGAATGAATTAGGTTAAACAGAAAGCCGTAAGAATTTGGCATGAATGACTATCAAATCTGCATTGAAATGGTTGTTAAATGGTTTTGTTACTTTTATATTTCTATAGCTACACAGGACACCTTCTGACTATTGCACTATAAAATACCATCTTAAGTATGTTTCACTTATTTAACTTATCTTATGGAGATAGGACTAATAAATTGGTTTAAAAGTATAACTGGAAAAATGTGTATTCAATCACTAAAGAAATATTCTAGACTTTCTCATAACTTCTTATAATAGGCATGGAAAAGCACGATAAGTTTGTGACTGTTGACAGTTTTATGTTCTGAGGCTAAATATTTAGATTATGTTAAGCAGTTTGAGAAAATGTTATGCTGTCTCCAGTGACAGTATGTTTCGTAAAGGCATGAAAACATTGATGGACCTCTGGCAGCCCACAGAATTCATGACACATATACTTCTAGACTGAGCATCTTGAAGGTGACACCAGCAAAAGAAACGCAGTATTGCAATATAGCAGTTCTTAAAGAGACAGTTCATCCAAATACGCATATATTTTTTGTCAACTTTTACTCTCTCTAATGTTGTTGTTCCGAAACCGCATGAGATAGATTATTTCTTCTGTGGATCACAGAAAGAGATGACAGATGTCATAGTGACAACGTCACAGTTCACTTCCATTATGTAGAAAAAGAGTCAGACGCAGTGATAGTGAAGGTTGATTGAGGCTGTGAGTCCCTAACATCTATTTTTGTGTTCCAAATCCCGTTTTTGGAAGCACATAACATTATAGCTAGCTTAACTTACCCTCTGATGGGGTGGTAGACTGTACACTCGCATGCTTTGACTGAAACTAGCCGTTTGGCTTCGCAAGACCCATGGTCTGTTACTGAAGATGCTGTTGTACACACGCCGACCATGACACAAGTTCCGGATCCGGGCTGGGCCGTTGGAGTGGTATCGTTTGAGATGATGGCATGACACCGGTCCGGGTCGAGGACTGGCAGCAGTAGCAGGGCCCGAGAGGACACTGGGCCGGGTAAGCCTGGCAGATGGGCGCACTCGCAGCGCTAAACGCAACATTTTGAAAGTGGTGACCCCGTAAGCCGAAACACTTCGCTGAATTTAAGTAAGGCTACTCTGGTATCAGAATATCTGACACCTGTGGTAGCAGCAGTAGTCTGTACTCCCCAAAACGTACAGAACAACCTCACTTTCCAATGACCTCCCCACTCAAAACATCCCACTTTACGACACTCCTCCTGCGCTTCGTCCTCCGGGTGACGCACAAGGGTTGCCAGATTTAAAATCGAATTATATACAATATATTAAAATATATCCTTTTTTTAAAAACAATCCTAATTTTGTTTCTAAATAGATGTACTAGCAAAAACAGCAACGTTTCAGTGAAAAATGTTGTACAATTATTAATTCTTTTAAATGGTGGTTTGAGATTGTAAAACATGGCAACCTCCAAACTGTCAGAGCCGGTGTCGTAAAGTATCAGCGCTGACGTAAAAGTGCCGTCAAGCACTTTCTATCCAATCCATCCAGAAGGACCACTTTGCATTCTTCCGAAACGCAATTTTGATTTACCTATAAATACAACTTATTCTCCCTCATGTCGTTCCAACCCTGTATGACTTTCTATCTTCCGTTGAACACAAATGTAAAAGACAGAATGAAAGCCTCAGTCACAATCCTCTTATAGACCATTTCACAAGATGTAAACAACACTGGTCCAGAAGCACTTCCTGTTTCAGTTTGTAACGGTTTTCTTTATTTCACATGTAAATAAAGATGTTTGTTTAACTTTTTGATTCAGTTTTAAATGTTCTGTTGGTTGTATTTTATCCCAGCTTTTATGTAGTGTTAAAAAACTGAAACAGGAAGTGCTTCTGGACCAGTGTTGTTTACATCTTGTGAAATGGTCTATATGGAAAAAAAAAGATACAATGACAGTGAAAGCTGTCAGTTGATACCATTCTGCCTAACATTTTCATTTGTTTTCCACAGATTTTTAGTCATATAGGTTTGGAACAATGGGACAGTTTAATTTTTTTTTTTTTTTTTGGGTGAATTGTAAACTGAAAAACTTTAGACAGCCTAAAACAAGATTATGTGCCATTGCTGGAGTTTATTGAGGTATTTTCAAGTATTAATTCATGTACTGATAACATAAGGTAGGAGAACAGGCAAGTGCTTAGAACAGCATTTATTGTAAAGCATTTTTCAGCAAAATAGAAAAATAGAGAACACATATGTAAGGAAAAGCTCCATGTAGCGTTATGTTGCGTTGGAAGTGCATTTGTCTTTTGGATGTCTATTTGACGATTTTAGCGAGGGCCGCTGCTCGCCTCTCTGTGTTCTTGAACAGGGCACGAATGAGGCTCTTCATTTCATTACATGAAAACTCCACTGCCAGAGGTCCTTTGCCCTCGGCCCACCTAAAAAAAGAAAAGAAAAGAAAAACGTTTTTATTTTTTAATGTGAGCACCGTTAAATGTATAACCAAAATACATAATTATAAAGTTCCCAATGACAAAAAAAAAAAACTAACTAGAAATACAGAGAGACTCTTAAAAATGAATCAAATTTAAAAGATTAAGTAAGTGTATGACCTGTCCACTATCTCCTGTAGATTAGCATTTAGAACCATGGAGATCTCTTTTAAGGTCATCCATTTCTTTACGTAGACTGGAACCTCTTCTTGGTATTTTTTGTTCTTGTTTTCATCTGGCAATGGATTGAAGACCAGCGGCCCTTCCTCTATAATGGTTTGACACAGTGTTCGCAGTCGCTCACCGTCCACGTTAGATATGTCCTGGAATGACAGCCCTTAGTTAACACCTCAAATAGTTTGGTGGTGTAACAACAAACAACAGCATTATGTATTGCCTTACCTCCAACATCATGATCTTATTAATCAGCTCTGATATTGCAGTATTGAGGAGAGTTCCAATGGCTTTGCAGTATATGTTTACTGGCAAGACATCTTGCCAAACTTTTCCCAACCTCCTCAGCTGATGAATTACCTAAAATTCACCACAGCAATAAAACCCCAGTGACAAGCACACTAGGCACAAATATGGCAATATACTGGTACCTAAATTTAAGCAGCAAAAGCCTATTCAGAAAACAATTTGTGTTGTTTGATCATACTTGTCTGATAGCCTTGCTAGCTGCAGAGTAATTGTCTTCATCATCCAAATTGGAGAAGTTACGTGCAGTGGACAGTCTCTCCAACATCTCAGCTTTTTGAACGTTCATTTGTGCCACAAAGCACCGAGCACCTTGTTGAAAAACAGAAAGAAAAAAAACAATAAATGGTAGTGTACAAAAATGAGATGACTATTTTAAGTTGGCATGAAATGGAAGTTGCGATCATCTTTTCTTCCCTATTGTGACTTCGCCTGCTGAAAACGCCTAGCTGTGAGCGCGTTTTGGTAGTGCAGCATTTTATTAAATTGAGATGCTTTGCTGGCTATGATACGGAATAACTGAGTAAGTATTACTAGTATCTCATTTCACAGATTGTTTCTATAAAAATGTTGATGCAATGTAAAGTATTTGCTCTGGCTCTTGTTTTAAATGATTTTGTTCCGTTATTATGCTTCTTGTCATGTGTTGACATTGTTCAAGCAGAATGTGACGGTTGGTCAGTGTGGTATTTGTCCCACGCCGCCTCCTCTGTGATTGGACGGCTGGGTAAAAAGTAAGAGTGATAAGCAGAGCACTCAACATTTCAGAAATAGACAAATAAGCCTCGTTGTGCTAGTGCCGTTTTATAAACGCACGCTCCCATTAAAAACAACTGGAAGAATACGCTAGATGCAGGGGAAAACGCTTTGCTGAACACACACCCTTTTATCCAATTGAAAAGGTTTCTGGAATGAGAAAAAAAAATAGTAGGGTGGGACTAGATTACAGGTGCACATTCATTTAAATTAATAGATTCATAATAAACTGCAACACTGTGTAAGAAAAAAATTCAGCAGCCATTACTCAAGCCTTTAGAAATCATTGTACAAGAAAAATATCTCAGTATTACCCATCAATGTTGAAAATGGTTCAGCTTCATATTTGTGTAATTGCATTTTATTTATTTTTTATTTATTTTTTTTACAATTCTTTGATGAATAGAAAGTTTAACAGCATTTATTTGAAATAGAAATCTTTTGTATCATCTTTGTTGTCACTTTTGATCAATTGTAATGTATACTTGCTGAATAAAAGTATTAATTTCATTTTTATTTTAATCTTACGGACCCAAAACATCTAAACAGTATCATAAAACATGCAAGCGTGCCCTTACCTAGTCTTCTGAAACCTGGGACCAAGTCTACAAAATAAGACACTCCATCTTTCAAAGGAAGGTGAGGTTTAAACTGGAAACCCAAGGTTAAAAGTTGGTGAGCGATGAACATGCAGTTATTGTGTTGGATGGCAGCCAAGTGAGGCAACTTCAATAAATTGTCCCTAAGTTATAAAAAGAGCAACACATTAAAAACAAAACCCAGCATACCAAGAATACTGCAATAAAAATATATCAACTCACTTGTGATATGTGGGCACAACATCATAGAACAGGTGAAATATGTTTCGAACTGTGTAGAAAAGCTGGACCGCACTGAAAGAAAGACCAAATTTATGTAGCTCTGTAAATACAGCTTACACGTGGACCCAAAAACATATCTGTGCTATTTGTAGTGGCTGCCTGCAACATACCACTGGGGGGAGCTGCCCACAGCCTCAGACAGAGTTTGTATGGCCAAGTCCATTAGCTGCTGCACTGACTCACTAATGCGACACACAGGCAGGCAAAGAGTACTGGGACTCAACTGCTTCTCGTTTTCCAGGCTCTGCTGATCGTAATGGGCACTTTTCTTACCCGACTCCTTCCTCTCCTTCTCTCCTCCACTGGGACTCGGTAGTTTAGGTATCAAGAGCTTATACTCTGGAGTGATCTGGACCACACAAAAGGCCGTCAACAAAAAGCTTTTAAAGCTTAATTAAAATGAGAGAATTTACAGAGGTCTTACTTTCACTGTGTTGTGCATCTCAGAAGTCATCAGTTTTCGTGCAGCCACAATGACATCTTGGCATTTTTTGCTTGCGAAGTGGCAGTTGACATTTCTGGCATATTTCAGGAGGGCCGTTGAGTCCCCTGCGAGGTACCCCATTTCTTTCAGACTGCTCTCGAAATCCTCTGTCTGTTTAATGACCTGAGAACACAATTGAATATTGCATTACAAAGAATGCTGTGCAGTTGTCGTGCTGACAGACCCTTGCAATCTTACCTCGCTATACTCGGCCAGCTGATTACTGTTAGTCGGAATGGAATGAACCAAGCATTCACGAATGATGCACTCTGACATCTCCTCCCAAATCAGGTCTCCTAAAAGCTCAGACACTTTCTTTTCATCGATAGACACATCTGAAGAAAGAAAACAACAGAAACCCCATCATCAGCCTACTCTGAAAGAAATGCAATGTCTAGTGTAGGGGTCTTCAACCTTTTTTTCCTAGACCATTTGTTGAAAAGTGAAAGGCTAGGCACCCCATATTGTATAAAATTGAGTGTTGCAATTCATGCCTCACTTATACAAGTATGTAATTCTATATTACGCAATATAATGTATTAAAAATATAAGTACTTAATATTGCAAATCCAAAACAAATAATAACTTGTGTTCATGGAAATCCCTTAGATGTACAAAGGAAACATTTTGACGTGTGAAGACAAACATGATTGTGACGAGCCATCATTAATTAATGTATTTAATGTACTTAATCACGCCATCTTTATACGAACTTTATGATGTAATGCTGTGCTTACTGACATAGCCTTTATTACAGTACAGAAACTATCAAATATATTTTCTGACTTATTCTGTTTTTTACATTGTACAAAATCCATGATGACTTAATGCATGAGTGTTTGTAGTACCTAAACCAATCATGAAATTATCATTAGGGAAAATAGGAAAAAAAAAACTAGAAAACTAATTATTGGTTATTATTCAGCACGGTATTTGATTTTTTTAGCCAATTGAAAGCAATAGATAAGAAAAAACAAAACCTGTCATTTAGAAAAAGGTCAGAAAATAAACTGGTATTCGACTTGACATTTCTGTCCCCCTCATTTCTGAAATGATGTCTATGTCCCTGGTGTATGCATTATAATTAGTGATGACTACAATGTCTGTGATAAACAGAGCCACCACTTCAGATTTTTAGACGTACCGAAAAGGTTTCCA